CAGCCAACATACTCTGGAAAATCATAATGATGACTACATAATCAACTTGTTCAAGCTCCAGAAGAACAGTGGATCTTCCATGTGTCCAGGAATAACCACAACCACAACTGGTTCTTCTTCTATAACTCGAATATATTATTAATCTTCACTGCCAGAGTTATTAGCGGCTACTGTCTTCCCTGTTGCAAAGGGTAGAGTGTGGCAGTGGTTTAAGTTTTTGGTGAACCATGCGCCAGTCATTTTGTTACATCAAATAGGAGTGCATAATATTTCCCATCTTTCGATCAAAAGATAAAAGAAAACTGCACGAGAAAGGAATCTGTCTCCCATCCCATGCAACAGAAAGTTCCCTTAATTTGAATCTCAGTTACTTTGGACCAAGTCTTTGCTTCTCGAACCATTCAAAATCAAACCACAAAAAAGAAGCAAGCTAAAGGAAAGAGGGTAAAAAAACAAAAAAGTGAGAGCAAAAAAGGCAGTCACCACAGATTGCTTCTTGCTTTGTAGATATACCATTAAATAATCGCATAGTAATAGTGTTTTGCTTTTGCAAAATGAAACGCTCTTAGTCCCATCAAAAAGAGTTGAAACACTTCAAGGACATTATAGAATCTTACGTTCTTTCTTTTCTAGTGATCAAATATGGATATGATAAATCGATGCTGTTGCGGCTAATTAAGGCCATGATCAACATATGTAATTGGAACTTTTGAGACTTGTCTCCCTGTCATTATTTGTGTTAATTAGGTATAATTCCTTAACTCTATAAGGTCATGCCATCTACCACTGCCTCGAATCCTAGTGTCACTTTTCTTGGGATATTTTCTAACACTCTCTAATCTCATACCTGTGGATTGCTTTTTGTAGATAAAATCGTAAAACCCTTTTGAGTCAAAAGGAACGATACCATATTTCACAAACTGGGTGTGGGTCTCCATGCATATTGTATTTGGTTTTAACTGGCCTGAGTAAATTTTCTTGTCCTTAAAAGCGTCTGGAGTTTGGAAAAATAAGTATATGACGAATGATCAACTAGCTACTTGCCAAATTTTAATGCACAATTCAAGGAGGAAATGTTTTGAGAAGTGGGCAACTTTAGTTATTGGCTTTTGCTTTATTTAGCTGGGGAGAAGAAAAGGCAACAAGAGAGTAGAAATAAAAAACCCAAAAAGAGGTAGTAGTAGCTGATTAATATATGTTACAAAGCTACACATCAATGTACGGAGGCAACATTCCTTTATTGGAATTCGCTCCAATCTCCTAACAGCAAGTTTTGCTTGGCCTGGTTTCGTCATTGTTAAACAAAACCCTATCCATGAATCTCCTTCCCTCAAAAGAATTAAGCAAGGACAAGCAAAATGCAGGTGGGACACCTCCAGAAGTTCAATCTTTCTCACAGTTGTTGTGTACTTGATGCTTGTGCTAGAGCAGGCACTTACTTTCTTGATATCCATGAAGAAGATCTCCATTTTCAAGCAGTCGCCAATGGCAGTGCAAACTTAACCCAAAACTTTTTTTGGTGAATACATTTACTCCCCAAATTCTCGAAATGGCATATGGCATGAATACTAGCAAGAAAATTTAAAGTACAAGATTTATGATCCCTCCGTCGACGAAGCATAAAAAAAATTTAAACAAATTTTCTCCACCGTGATCATCTGCAGAAGCTCAAGGAGTGTCATTGTCCTCACACTTAGGCTCGACCTGGTGGTTCTCTAGACTTTGCTGCTCTCCTGAACATATCACAAGAAAATATTCATCATGTCTGTTGAGTCCTAGTTTAGTATTTATGATGTTCTTTATAAGTTACTCTTGAGAGTCATCCTATGTCCCAAGGAAAGCAGAACAAGTGACCACTGTTTTGATTTCCATTCTTTTGAATGAACAAATTTTAACTCCTTTATCACTTCCAGGAACTTTCTAACATAATTCAAAGTATATTCCAATTTGAATTTCATTGTAAAGGAAAGGAGCTGTATATGCATCTTTCTTCCACATAGCTGGAGTGGCTCAGTACTTCCCCCAGCGTCTTTATTTGTTCCTTATGAAAATAAGAGAAAGACTGATTTAAAGAAGCTTTTGTAAAGAACATCACCATCACCAGCTTTCATGCATTTGAAATACGAATTAATGGTATCTTTTTTGCATATGTGGATATCATATTATATCAAAAAGGAATCAATGTACATCTCCCTTTCTCAGCCCCTCTCCCCCTTCCCAAAAGCAAAATGCAAAACTGAAACAGAAGGAAAGTATCTATTGTTTCAACAGGACAATAACATCCATTAGTGTCAAGATCATACATGAAATCTACAGTGAAACTAGTACATATATGTGTGAGTATCACTTTTTCAAGTCTCTTGATCAATCCAAGATACAGAAGCTTGATTCATCATGCCTGGTCATCAGATAAGTATTGAATTTCTTTTTTAAAAAAAATTAAAAAAAAAAGGGAAAAAAAAGAAATGGGGGAGGCAGGCAGGTGGTTAAGTGAAGAGGAAAATATGCACATACATGTTGTCTGAGATAAGAATATGTACCTGTTGTGAATGGGATCAGGTCCATTAGGTACTCTTCTCTTGCTGACATAGTTGAGATGCAAATCCTGATGAAAATTATACCTCTCCTGTGCAACAAACTCCCAATGTTTAAAATCCCTAGTTGAGGGAACCATCATTGATTTTGTCATCGCGGTTGCATGGTTTGCTATGATGCCAACAAAAAAAAACCAAATAACTCCCACAAATAGTGTAACTCCAAACAGAGACCTCAAAGCTCTACCACCCCTCCCCATATCTTTCTGCTGATTCAGTTCTACAAGCTTTCACCAAAGAATGGCAGGCCATTGGACAGAGAACTCAGGGCAACCATGTTGATTTTTAGGGGAGGAAAATGCATGTGGATTGTGGAACACTCAGAGGTGAACAGAAGAAGAAAGGAAGGGAAGAGAAAGCAGAGGAAGACAGGAGCTTTAGGTGGTTTTCAACTTGGCGGGTAAGAAGGCATTGGTCCTATTTAAAAAAGTAAGATTGAAGCAACACTGTTTTGAGAGAGGAGAGAGAGGAGCATGACCAATAAAACAGAAAAGTTCGTTGCCCTTGTTGCTTTATATATTGAATGGGCCCATGGGAGCTCTCTTTCTTCGCTTTGGTTTGTGCATTTTCATGCAGCAAGCAGGCAAAGCCTAGGGGACCTCACTATCTCTCCTGAGTCTAATGTGTCCCAACTCTAAGCTTGTAAAAGACATAGGGGCTTGTGCCTGTTATAGCAATATATTGTTCTGTTGTGCCCAACCTGATGTTCTATTATCATCATTTCAATCAGGAAAGAACAACCTCTTCCCATATGAATAAAAGAAGTTTATGGATGTGGATATATTCAAAGGTATTGCTTCTGGCTAGCTACACATACAAGAAGGATTCCATCAATCAGCCCTCAAAAAGGGGAAAATTCGAAAGTGAAAGGCATATAAGCAGACAACTGCCTTAGCTCGACTTGCAGTTTTCTTACTCCGTAAGTATCTCATCCTACTTTTCCAGTTGAGTTTTAACCAATTATGGGGCACCCATTGTATGTAATCCCGGAAATGTATGTTAACACATAATATTAATAACTAGCTGTAGGGTTAGTGGCAAACAGTCATGCAATGTCCTTAAATTGGTTTTAAACAGAAAGCAGGCATTGAGAGTCCCACATGATACAGTATAATGGCCATAGGAACAAAAAGAGGAACTAGCAATTAGAGAATTGTGAACTTGTTTTGCTCTATTAAACAAGTCCTTTCAAGAATCTAAATTTGGATCATAAGGACATCCTGCTCCCTACTGTGTTGCCAAGAGATGCCAGTCACTCTGAAGAACACCATAAGCCCATTTGTCACAAAAGTTTATGTTATCCACATAGCCTAAAAGAAGAAAAAGTATCAGGTTGATGTTCCCCTTTTGATTATTGTAACTCTCGACCGTTCCACAACAATTCAGAAACACAAAGGGGAGAAATCAGAAACACACTCCTGGAAATAAAAAAAAAATATACGCTCTTATAAGACAAGGAACAGAGTCTTACGCAAGGAATCTGGCAATATACTTTGGGAACTTCTATAGGACTAAGAAGATTCACACAACAACATCAGCAAAACAAAAGAATCACAGGGAAACAACAGACAAGCTATTTAAGCTCCATGAACAGATGGTAGAACTGAGAGCAAAGGGTAACTAAAAGAATATCTACACACCTGACTCCTACTAACTACATTTTTATTGCTAGTTCCACATGCACCGAAAGGAAACTTGTTGCTGTGACTGATTGGCGGAGATGCCTCCTGAAACTTATTGGTCGGAGACCTTACCTTGCTATTGAATCTTAAAAGCAAAATGAACTATACAAGAATGCACAATTAATTATTCAGCAATGAAACTTCAAAGTTTAAAACTCCTAGAAAGCCAACAACCTATTGCATGACATCTAAGTAATTCCATTATAAATCTTGGGTTTCTCAAACCATATCTAGTACTACATCTCCACTTTGAGGATCGGATTTCCCAAAGGTTCCCCAGTAACTTTAGCCAAAGGGACATCGATTAATGCTGTCATTATCAATTAGCCACAAATGATTTTGTCAATACATTTATGAATTCCTTGTCATTCTGAAAGAATTTCAGTTCAATAATGCTTGTGTTGTGGGACAACTCTTTCAATCATGTGAGAAATCGGATCCACTCCAGGACATAAAATTCCCCACCCCCCAAATCAGTTGCGTCGTTTATATTGATAGAACAGGTCCCACCTGAGGACTTTTTTACTTAAATAAAATTACTTAAATGGTTCCCCACCTCAATTGAGTTACTTACTTAGACCTTCAAACAGAGATGAACATATAGACAAGAAACCAGCGTTAACTGTCATCAAATCCATACCAACAATATTAGAAAAGAAATATTACTCAAAAATGGAAAGCCATGGTTGAAAAACTAGTAGTGAGGTTTGAAACAGATTACATATGTCCCAATGTCAATTATTTTGCCAAGTCTCTTTATGTATTGCCTTCCCATAATCAACTTCCTTTACAAAAGATAAAACAAAAACAAAATCACAAAAAGAAAAAGTAAAGAAACAAGAGACAAGCTTCCTCCTATAAAACTCAAAGTATCAATTGAATTGGACCACCTTCCCCTGTTAAAAGAAAAACCCCTTCTCTTTATGGGAACCATGCTTTTGGACACTGTATCTTCCATCTGACGTGAGGAAGGGGAGCTAGAATGGGCATCTCAATGGCCCCAGTCTTGATTCTATGCTGGAGAGACCGACAGATTCTAGGTTCAAAAAATGTGCTTTAACCAAGCTCCACAGCATTGACAAAGTGCAGCAGGTAGTGTTAGTTGAGATGCTTTGGAACTGCTTTTTAATGAAAAACTCCAATGAGGAACCATGCCAGCCCTAACAGGAATTACAAGGTGACTAGAAGGCTATGTGCAAAATACATATGATCCTAGCAGTCAAACAAACAAGCCTCATCAAATTAATAACAAAGAGCAAGATTACAAATATGATCCACTTTACATTGAAGGCAAGGGTGAATCTGGAAATGCACTTCAGAAACCTCATGCCTATAGTGGCATAATTAGCATGAGAGACAAATTGAAGTACATAGGTTGCACTCTGAAAGCTTAATTACAAGAGAAAAGGTGAGCAAGGGGTTCCAAAATTAATGTTTTTCTTTTTAATTGGTGAAAGGGGGATTCGAACCCTATTTTTTGAGAAGGAGGATCATGCATCAACCAATGAGCCAAATGCTCGGATGTTGATTCCAAAATTAATGTTCAAGTTGAAAAACTTCTCAAAATGAGCAATCTATAGCACCTTGTCAGGAACTTCACTACAAAATTTAGATCTTATAATTTTGACAAAATCAGCTTGACAAACCATGGCGTTCGGTTCACATCCATTGAGCAGCACAGAAATATTGGATTCCAAAGAAGAGATAGATATGCAATTTGGAAACACAACCCTTTTAAAACATGCAAAATAATACAGAAACAATTCAAATGAATAAACTGCATTTGACAACCGAGGGCATTGATTACACAGAAATTACCATGTACACTCAATATATCTGGTGTCAAGACAATTGAAGATTGCAACTTAGAGATAATTCAGACAGTATCCACCTTCAAATAGTAAACCTGCAGTTAAAATTTCTGAGCTGTATTGTGAAAGGTATTCTGTGACTTTTTTTTCTTCTGGGCCCACTTGGGTCCATATATTGCTAAATGTGTCCGACCAAATCTTCGATCCTTTATCTGCATTTCATATTAACAATTAAAAACAATACAACTTGCCCATGTCCTGTCCTTTGATTACATGGAAAAAATGGTTTGGCATGCTAAAATTTATATTACTAATTATTATATCAATAATAGCATATATCTACACTCCATCAAGTAGAACAAAAAATCCAAAATGAAAAACACAACTGCAGGGGCTGAAACTTCAAATGAATTCTATTCCAACTTTTCTAGAATTATCTCAGACCAGAGCTTCATTAATTTTCCTTTCTTACAGGAAGCTTAATGCAAAATGATAAACAGTTTTTTTTTTTTTTTATGAAAGGAAAGACGATAAACAGTTAATTAACAGAAGTACCTTTACAAGGCATCCACATGAATCCAGCATGTTTGTTCTCAAAGGATATTCCACTACCTAGACCATGAAAGTAGAAATTGAGAAAACAAGGGGAAAGGTATTCATATAAACTCATTCTCTGAACAAATAACAAATTGCTACTCACAATAAAAGTGTCTTCTCCAATAATAGCTGACTTGGAAATTTGAGCCATTAGGGTTCCATAATCAACTTGGGTATATGGAGGTGTTACACTGATGTAATCAAATGGGCCATCACTACCTATAAGAAATCAAATGTTAGTTTCTGATGATGGAAAAGAAAGGAAGCCATTAAACATTAGAAAGGTTAGATAGTAACATTTAAATGCATAGTTGACCCATCTGTATTTTAAATGTATGCTTTTGCATGAAAATTGGCAATTCATTCTTTTGAGATACCAGTTTTCAAGAAGATCCAGGTTGGTGGACTTATTACACACCTGTAACTGCTCCCTGTATCTTTGTTCTTCTCTTGAGATGCTGAAGAAAATGCTTCTAACACATTTGAGTTGTTCCATTAACAAATTGCACTTTCTTGACTCTAATTTACTAAAGTGAATTGACTAGCATCAACAAGTGTTATAACCATCGACTGTTCTACGCAGTCTTATGTCTACATTCACAAAAGAGCCTACATTCCTAAATTTGTCCTATACTACACTTCATATCTGCACACTGATCAAGTTAGAATTTACTGTAACTTTGTCTCTATTGAAATTCATTTCTTTAAGATTGCTCATTACTCACAAGCTGTTCCATTTTTCTTTCTCCGAAATGATCAGTGAACAAGAAAAGTGATCTGCAAAATCAAAGTTTAGATTTGTTCTCTCATCTTTGTTATATCGAGTTACATTTAAAAATTAGTAATCACATGAAATTTAAATCTTAGAATTCACCATAAGAAATCAAAGAAGAAACACACCTACAAATCGGTCTGCTTGTTCTAAGAAATTTTCAACACGAACAGGATGTACAACTGAGACATCAAGAAACCTAGTCCATTCCAGGTTTGGTTGCAGAACATTTGAAATAACCCAAGGATCCATCTCAACAAAATGCACCTGTAGAATCACAAGTGAAAATTTATATTCCTGAAATATGCCACAGTTCTTTATATTAAAAAAAAATGAAAAAGGGAAATTACTCTTACAGTTTCTTAAGCCTAAACAAAAATGTCAAATTATATTTGAAGGCTTGTTTGGGCTTTCTCAGCTTAAAATTCATTTATTGCCTACCAAATCTTACGCTACAACCAGCTGAAGTGTAATAAGTCAATAATGGCACCTCAGAACATCCACGGCTGATAGCTTCAATTCCAACAGATCCTGTACCACTATAGAGGTCTAACCAGCGACCAGGTCGTAAAGAGGCAGGGCAGCCACCAGCCACCTATAAAACAGTAGAATATTCATTCTTAAGAAAAAGGAAATTAGAATAACTCTAAAATTACGTAATCCAGTTTACAATTAGATCAGACATAAACAGACACAAAAGCTTTGGAAAATCTTAAACTATATGTAGAGGTACATGGACAGGATTAGGGGGTTAAAAAAAAAGATATACTACCTGCAGCATACCAAAGGCAGCACCTTTTACGACTTCCATCATCGGTCTCACATCCATGCCTTTGGGTGAGAGCAACTTCTTTCTTTTAGCCTTTCCTCCAAGCACCTAGAATGTTCAATAGGCTTGTTAATCATTAACCCTCAAGGATTAGCCTAATTAAAATGCACAGCAAAATATTATCTAAACATAAACCTATAAAATCAGCTTCAACAGGGCAAACCATAGAGACACTGGAATTCCTAATGAAATCCTTTAGAACCACAAAGACTCGATCGCGTTCTCAAAAGTAGACTTGCAAAGTGATTCTAAATTGTAATGAGATTTCCAATTCCACAAGCAGCTTCAAATCACCGACATATATAAAAATTTCTCCAACGCCTCCATGTCAAAGAAGAAATTTTATTTTTTTCTAATTGCAAGCTAAGACCCGTTATCCTTTTTTCCCTCCTTCATAAAAATAAAAAACAAAGGCATCATATTGGTACCTGAAGCAACTTATGAGTGGTTCTTGGGGGCTTAGCTTCCTCCTCTGTCACTACTTCCTTTCCTTTCCCTTTCCCTAGCACTTCCTTTCCCCTTTTAGTCTACAATAACCCAGTTAAAAAATGCACCTTTAAAACTATTAATCAATTATTCAATAACCCAATAAAACAGAAAGGGAAAGAAATCCACCTTTCGCTCAGATATGTACTCATTGGGATCAAAACCATATCTTTCGACCAAAACTTTCTTGTCTTTAGCTGTCAAACCACTTCCTGATTCTGCCAAAACATAACAGCAAAAAAGAAAGAGTCAAGTTTTTATTTTAAAATAAAAAAACTAAAGATATAGAATGATGATAAAAACAGTGGGTTTGTTTTAACTGTAAGAGAAGAGGATCATGAAGGAGCCTTCATTTGTCTTGATGGGTTTGGATGAGATGCTGAAGACAAGAGGATTTGCTAATAAAAAGAGCTTTTTCTTCTTGTCATTGATAGTGTTGCAGTTGTAGTGTAACGGAGAGAGAATTGGAGAGGGTGAAGCAGCCATTTTTGAGGAGCTTGAATTTTCAGTTTCAATGGTTACAGAGTGGCCATACTTGTTTGGGGATTAAGCAGGGTTTTTCGTTTTCCTTCCAAAGAAGTGCTGATGTTGGAAATAGCAGGCTCTCTTTTGAATTTCCTTTTCTTTCAGAAAAAAAGTTAGATAAAAATCTTGTGACCGGATAACGATCGTAAATTCTAAAAGATAAAAGTTTAATAAAAAAAAAATCTTTAAATTATTTAAAAAATTTTGAATAACTTCTTATATTTTTTTATATTTTTATTTTAAATTAAATAAATTTTTATATTTTTATTTTGATGTAAATAAATTTTTATAACTGAAAATTGAATTAATCAAAATATTATTTATTTTTTGAAAAAAAAAACAGAAAAAGAGTCTCTTTTTATCTTAGTTGTATTAACAAGTTCATTACTCTTATAACATTCAAAACAAGCTTTTGGAATTGAAAATATTTACTAAATTTCTAAAAGTTGAACTATTCAAATAGAATTCCTGAAGCATTTCATGGAAAGCAATTATGTATTATATTGACAAAAAGTGAATTCTAATAATAACTTTTTCTTTAAATTCTAAATGTTGAATTATTTAAAATTTTTTAAAATATTTTTTTGATATTGAGAAAAAAGAGATTCCTCAACTATTTTTTTAATACAAAAATTACAGATACATATTTACTATTAAATTAAATACTTATAAAATAATATATGTCAAAGATATTTTAAAACAAGCAATTTAACCATTAGAATTTTTTTAAAAAAAAGTTAATATCAGAATTCTCTTTTATTATTATCAATAATAATATAATATATAAAAAACTCTATTTCCCCTATCCTAAATGTCAAATCTAGCAAAAAGGTACATTCGAGGGAGGAGAATGTGGCCAATTTGAATATGATACCAACAGTGACCATGCATAACAATCCCTCCTTTAGGGATGCGTTAATGAACTTGGAAAGCAAGCCTTTATTATGGAAGGAAATTTATTTACTAATGAGGATATGGCAAGTGAACCTAGTGAAAATGACACAAGTGATTAAAAAAATGTAAATAATCTTCAAGGATAGTTTAGAAGATTTTGGGAAGACACAATGGATGGTTTCCTTGCACTTGAAATTTCGGATAACAAGTATGCGGAGTTGGTCAAACGTTGGAATAGATTAGTTGTAGTTAGAATGCTAGATTGCTCAATTCTTACAAGCTCTTATGTGATAAGATTAATGTCTCTCTGTGGAACGTTAAGGACAAATACACAGTGGTTGATTTGGACGATGAAAGCGTCTTAGTCAAATTTTTAAATGGAGACAATCCATGGGTGATACAAGGAAGTTATTTGTTAGCGTAACCATGGACACCAAATTACGTGCAAGATACAAGTGACCACACTATTGTGGTTGCTTAGATAAGATTTCCGAGGATGCCTCTCCATCTATATCACAAGTCAGTGTTGAGATGACTAACCTTTCTCTTAGGTCATCAAAAATGAAGGGAAAATTGGTGAAAATTGTAGTGGAACTGGATTTAACAAAACCTTTGGTACCATTTGTCTGTAAGAAAGGGAGATTGTAAAAGGTTGAGTATGAGGGTCTCCATAGGGTTTGTTTTGTTTGAGGATTGCTTGGACATGACTAGGAGAAATGTTAGAAAAAAGAGGTTACTCGGCCCACAAATGTAGATGAGGAGGGAAAAACTGATGAACAATAGCAGGAGGCCTCACCATATGGCCTTTAGATGTTAGTCAATCGGAGCAAGCTGTAGCAATGAATAATAATCAAGCAAGGTATGGTTCTTGATTTGCAGTATTGAATGAAATTCCTAACGGTATGCTTAATTCACAAGATGACAATAATGTGACTAACGTGGTGACTGAGCAGGAAAAGAAAACGCAGAATGTTATTTATGACAGATGATTTAGATCATGAAACCTTCTAAGATGGTTTATGACAGATACTCAAATTAGGAAGTTTCCTAAATTGGTTTAGGTTTTTACTTAAAGAAGTTTAATTAGAAAGAACTTACTAATATAATTAATTCAAATATGATTTGAGACAGCTAAAGGCCTTGATATGATCGATTCCTTTACTAAGTAATTTTGAAAAATTATTTTTTTTAAAAAAATTACTAAACCTTTTCAAACTTAAGCATTAAATGATTTGAGCTATGATCCTCAATGGTTAAGTGACATTTTTCAAATGAAATGCAAGATCATCATCATACTGAGTATGTTTACTTTATGTGATAAGATTAATGTCTCTCTGTGGAACATTAAGGACAAATACACAGTGGTTGATTTGGATGATGAAAGCGTCTTAGTCAAAGATTCATCTTAAGGCTCTTCCAGACAGTCCATGGGTGACACAAGGAAGTTATTTGTTAGTGTAACCATGGACACCAAATCATGTGCAAGATACAAGTGACCATACTGTAGAAGAAAAAAATTATCAACCAATTACGTGCTACCATGAGGATTTAATAATATTTTAACCATATAATTAATTATAAAATAATTAATTTATTGGTTAGATTATTTTAAAGACATATAGTTGAACCAATTCACCTATTGGTATATATTTATCTCTCAAAATAATTTAGAGATAATATTTATATTTTGACCAATCAAATATTAGCTATTGGTCATCCAATTTATCTCTAAACAAATCAAAATAATTTAGAGATAATATTTATATTTTGACCAATCAAATATTAGCTATTGGTCTTCTAATTTATCTCTAAATAAATCAAAATAATTTGAAGATAATCTTCATATTTTTGAGCAATTAAAATTTAATTATTGGTCATTTAAATTATCTCTAATAATTATACTAATTTAGAGATAAAAATCAAAT